GTGTAATAGTTTAAAAAAACTACTTGCTTAAGCTGTAAAAAAAAAAGCACAGAATATGGAAATTATTTCAGATAACTGAGGATAAATGCAAAAGTAGCACACAGAGTCCTCTAAGAATAGTCAGGACCCTTCAACCTCAGAACAAACTACAATTACTAATGATTACTCAAGACACCAGAAAGAACCAGACCACTTCTTGGAGGTGGATGGAAGGATGATAATGAATGGTGGAGAAAGGTAGACTTATTCATCTAACATTATTTCCATTTTCTCTGTTTTCTGTCTCCTGGTTCTTTAGCCATATCTTTTTTTTTCTTTGCTGGTCAATTATCCACCTGCCTCCCCATAAATATGGGTGTTTACTAAGTCTCTGTTCTCTTGCTTCTTCTTTTCTCTGTTAATATCCTCAACTAGTAATTTCATCCATCTATGGTGTTGGTGAACACCTTCATATAAATAATTTTAAAATACGTGTACTGAGTTCAAATACTAAATAGCAAAATACTTTACACTCATTTTACCTAGGCCAGTGCTCTTCAAGATAATGTATTGAAGCACAAGAAGAAAATATCAGGACATCTATATGTGGTTATATCTGTCCTTACAAAAAGAAAGAAATTAAGCTTTACTAATATCTAATATGTAGATTGATACTAATGTCTTCATTTAATGAATCAGTTATATAGCTTTGTATTATGGGCAGTATACAAGATATCCTGCTTCAAGAAGAGTACTATATTTGGGAGAAGTTGACAGTGGTGCCCTCATTCATTTTTTTAAAAATGTATTACAATATATTGCATTTTTCATATGACTAAGTATATTTATGGATCATACTCTCTAGCTTTAACCAAAATAACTCTCACAAAATGAGCAAGCACCTTTAAAAAATTCCATCAAAAAAACATTGATTAAAGATATTTTGAATATGAACCCAAGAAAATGGCAGAATTGACCCTTTTACTGCTAGTATAAACAAATCTTTAGCCATATTATGAGGTCTACACATTAATAATCCAACTAAAAGTCAGCCAAACATTTGAAATGATTAACATTATTGAAAATATGAATTTATATTCATATCTTTAAAGATTAACCATCTCTTAGCAATGCATTGTACTTTGAAATATTAGCTAATGATAATATGAAGGCATTACAATTGGTAAGATTTTTTAAAATAGAAGCTTCTGTTGTCAAAATAGTATGTGTGATAACTTTAAAAACTCATGTTTTATACATTAAAAACTCAGAAACATCTTCTAACATTTCTAAAAATTTGCATTTTTATTTAAAAGTTTACTAAATAAAATATATAACAAAAAACCCCAAATTTAAGTTAGAAATTAGAGTTCTTGTATGTGATTAATCAAGTAAATTAAAAATTGAATTTAAAATTTAAATTTAAAGTGTGTTTATAAATTTTAAGCATATTATATATAATGTTACTGATATAAGCATATTCAATCACATTTCTTTCACTGAAATGTTTTAGTTTTTTTTAATTTAATGAGAGCCAATAATTTTATATCATTAACAAATGTTATTTATCTTTATTTCATTGCTTTAAAATGTCTATTTTTGTGTTTTATAATGTATAACATGTTCTTTATAAACAAATAATAGTAATTTGTAAATAAATATACATATATTGGGAAAGCATGTTCAATTTTTTAAACTGACAGCTGCGTGATTAAAAAAATGTCTGAAGATCACTGACCTAGAGCATTGTGCAAGTTTCCTAACTTGTCTCTTTGTTTCCAGTGAATCATTTTTCCAGTTATCCCTTCACACAGTGTTGAAAATAATCTTTTAAATGATGTGGTTTTCCTAATAGTGTTTAGGATTGCTCCTCTGCTCAGTCGTTGCTTATTAGCTGTGGGATAAAATGCAAACTCCCTAAACTGACATTTGGGTTCTTACACATACTCTGTTTCTTCTGTCTTGCACTTTCAAAACCATTATTACAGAGCATCACCCATGCCTAGAATATAACCATTCATAACACATAAACTCTTAAAATCCTCCTTTTCCTTAAAAATCCACCTCCTTTATGAAGCGATCCTGATTTCTCCTGGGGAAAGTAGTATTTCCCTATTTCTCATATTTCCATACGTATTTCTTTGACTTTCTGATTTGTCTTTCACATTTTACTTTGTATTATTCTTATTTGTTCCAATTAAATCATAAACTTTTTAAAGATGAGGAATTTGTCATTTTTCATGCTTATATTCCTGGCTCCTAGCAAAGTACCTTATGTATAGTAGATGATTAATAAATGTTTGATCGAATAATGGGTTTGTATACAAGATAAGTAAATTGATTAAAGAGTACATATTCCCAATGTGTTTGTCACCAGGCCAAGACAAAACTGGCACTGCAAGAATGATTAAATGTGATTGTTGTCATAGAGAGGAGGAAAGGTGCTACAAGAAGAAAAGAGAATAAGTATTTATGTAGTGCCCACTATGTATCAGATATTATGCTAATCACTGGGGTTTTTTTAGAAATATTGTCCTATTTTATTCTCACAACAACCTTGCAGGTCAGACACTAGTAGTATCCCCTTTTTATAGCCAAGGAAACTGAGACAAAGATGACAAGTGACTTGCCCATGATCATACAGCTAGCAAATATCTGAGGCTGGATTTGAGATCCTAACTTCCTGCCTTTAAGCCTAGAACTCTACTCACTACATCACCAGTTGCCCCTACAAGGTTAGAGGTCTTCTAGGACAAACATTGTCCTGATTTTCAAAGAGGGAAAGAGTACAGAGCATGCAAACAACAGCCAAGTGAGTTTGATTTTAATCCCTGGCAAAAAAAAAAATAGAATTTGTTAACAACAGCAACATGTTAGAAGCATTTGGGAAAGGAAGCTGTGACCAAAAAGAATCTGCTTCAATTCATTAAAAAAGGAAGATCGGGTGATACCATTCTAATTTTATTTCCTATTCTTACAGAGTAACTAGATGGAAAGTAGTTCATAGCAGTATAATACATAAAGCAAACCTGGATTTTAGCAAGGAATTTGTCAAATTTTCTCATTATATTCTTGTGGATAGCAATTTGCTATTCAAAACTTTTATCAGCAGCTAGGATAAAAAGGTATAGTTAGGATACCTATTAAAACTTTCTAGTTAACACAAAACTGGAAGTTGTGACCAACATAATGAAAGAGTCTTGACCCTAAGAGACACTGAAAAGCTGAATCAAAGAGACTGAAATTTGATAAGGATAAATGAAAAGTCTTTCACTTGGGTTCAAAACATTAATGTATATGTGGAATATGGGTGAGGTATGTCCAGGCAACATACTTCATTTGAAAAAATAATGGAATTTGAGGGAACAGTAAACAAATATGGGTTAACAATGGGACATGACAGCCAAAAAAGTTAAGGGAAGGTGATCATAAGCTGCATTAATTAATAGAAGCATAGCATCTATAATGAATAAAGTCCTTCTGTCTTCATTCCTACCCAGAAAACATCTCAAATTTTGTGTTCAATTTCAGGTATTATATCTTAGGAAGGACACTGACAAACTGGGAAACACTAGGAGGAAAATGATCTGGATGGTGGACAGAATAGAGACCATGAAATGTTTAAATTGTTTAATGAGCTAGAAATGGCTACCTTGGAAAACAGAAGACTTAGACTGTCAACTAGCTGATGGTAGTGATAGCTATCTTTGCATATTTAAAGAACTGTCATATAAAAGGGGAGCTTTTATTCCCTTCCACACCTTATATTCCATCCAAACTGGAGAACCAGATATTTATTCTCCAAACACAAAGCCTATTTTAGGAGACTTTTCATATTTTCCCTGGAGTTTCTAGAATTAATGAGCAAATTCTTGGGGTATTTCTAGCAACAACTAGCTGATTGAATCTAATGTACATAGGGGGAAATCTCCTTGATTGTGAATTTTTATTTATGCATGAGTTCATTTTATACCCTTTTGTTTAAAAAAAAAGTTAGCCTGAGGAATTCTAATTGGTAACATCCTGGTGAAAGCTATTAACATAGTTTTGTTGAACATTATGAACATTTGTTGAACTATGTGAACATTATGCTAACAAAGTTGCATTTCTTTAAAAAATGTTGTAAAACTTGGGATTTTCCATAATCCAGACTGATCTCCATCAAACTCAATTATATAATAAAAATTCATGAGTTTCAAATCTCCTTTTGTGAACATGACAACTAATGCTCAAAATGTTAAAAATTACAGGATCAGTTAATAGCTCTCCGCATTAAGTGTTTATTGGTCAAAATTCAAGATGTATTTTTGCTCTGAAGGTTCATGTTTAGCATGGCGATCTTAACATTACACAGCCCATTTTGAGACAGATAATGTCCATGTATTGTTTCAGATAATGTCTAATTGGGTGGGTAACAAGAGGCTGTTCATTATTCACCCATAAGTGAATGTTCATTATTCTTCGCTATCTAATGCGGTATCGGTTAGCATCTGAATGTGTGTGGGTATGGGTATAAAGACCCAATATGCAATCATATGGAAGAATCCACCCACCACCAAGGGCTAAATGAAAGAAAATGTTATTGTGGTTGTAAAATGTCCTTTAAATTCTATTTTGACTAATATTAACTTCTAGATAAAGAAAAGGAAACTTGAAGAAACTATTTTCTTCCTTTGTCTTTTCATGGAACAAGAGAAAAATAATCATAAAATGTGAAAGCATAAGATTCTAGTCCAGTTAGACAAAGTATAAACATGTCACTATGCTTCATATCTCTGAACTCTAGTGCCTTTGGATTTCAATGAGGTCCAATTAGCATCATTTCCTGAAACTTTCCTAGATCCAGAAGCAGACCCCATCACTTCCAAATTCAGCCTTTACCTCTGCAAGAATTAGCGCAAACAACATCTATATTCATTAGCTGTCCATTACATGAATATATATGCTAAGACTTTAAGGCTGCCTGATTGCAGAAGCAAAATCAGAAAGGGAGAAAAAGATGAAAATAATGAGCATGGGGTTCAAAAGTTTCCTTTTAATGTACATCAAGCAGTTTTACATAACACAAGTAACTATGGGAATTTTCTATTTAGCAATGATGGGTCATGTAGGAACTGGGTTTTCTTGATCTCCTGTTGAGATGACAGCATGTGCTCTGCACTCGTCATCTGCCAACATGCAGTGAATGCTAACAGATTTCCTCTTAATGAGCTCACGGAGCTGGAGCACTAGTTAAAGGAGAAGGTCAGAGATTCATGTTTGTTTAGCTGCCCCCAGCATGTCTCATTTCTTCTGATGTACAGGAAGGGAGCTTTTGTCCGTTTTCTCCTGCTTTGTGCTAAATTAGCCAACCTGTCGATGTATCAAAGTAAAAAAGGTTACAGTAGTCAAAGACATACAAAATAGGCAGATGGACAAAGATGTATATTAGCTACACCCGGTAGCACAGGTCTATATGTTTAGGTCTTCTATTAAGAAATAATGCTATGCTTTAAGGCAATTATAATCTGAGAAAAGGGCATTATAAGAAAATGAAAAGCTTTGTTCTCATACAGCAATTATATTACCTAACATCCTTCATATAAAGATAGTCATACCATTAAAATGCATAATTATTCTCTCGAAGGACATAACTAGCAGAAAGAAGTTCATGATTTTTTTTTAACTGGTGAAAAAAATTAACTGGAAGCCTTTTTTTTTTCAAGCTAGCCATAAAGCAGACAAAAAGCATTTTATATTGTTAGAACCTGAAAATCTTCACGTGACTAAACCTGATGGATAAGAATAATTGCTGCATTAAGATGAGAGTGTCTGATTCTATCTAACAAATGCATATTCAGAAATGAAAGTAATAACTTCTCTTCCATATAACAATTTACATTTGAATTCAATTCACTTCAGCAAACATTTGTTAAATTTTTTTCTGCATACAAGGTATTGTACTAAGTGCTGGGGAAAAGAAAAAGATTAATGTAATGTAGATTGTGGTGTCAAGAAGCTTACAATCAAATGGGGGGATATGTAAAGAAATAACAATGATGCAAGATAAATTAACACAGAGGAGAGTTCTGGGCAAGTCTCATAAAAATTTGAAGGAGAAATCACATAAAAATTGGAGGGGTGGGGAAGAGCAAGACAAAATTATTTATGGAGAGATTGTTTTGTCATAGCAAGTTCCTAGGAAACAAAGTAGATACCCATTGATTAAGGAGTCATTCATCAAATTGTCTTACATGAATGTCACGGAATATTATTATGCAGCAAGGAATGAAAAACAATGAATCAGAGAAGTATGGAAAGATTACATGAACTGATGCAAAATAAAGATAGTAAAGGCAGGAAAACAATATACACAATTATTTTTGTGGTTGTTCAGTCATTTTCCAGTCATGTCCAAATCTCCATAACCCCATTTAGGGTTTTCCTGGGAAAGATATTAAAGTGGTTTGTCATTTCCTCTCAAACTCATTTTACAGGTGAGGAAACTGAGGCAAAAAAGGTTAAGCAACTTGTCCAAGGTAATAGTAAGTAACTGAGGCCAGCTTTGAACTCAGGAAGATGAGTCTTCCTGACTCTAGGCCCCACAGTCAAACCATAGCACCACCTAGCTGCCCCACACAAATATTGTTGTTGTTCAGTTATTCAGTTGTATCCTACTTTCATGACCCCATGGACCATAGCACACCAGGCACTTCTGTCCTCCACCATCTCTTAAAGTCTAAGTTCATGTTTGTTGTTTCCATAATACTATCCATATCATCCTCTTCCATCACCTATTCCTTTTGCCTTCAAATAAATATGCACATATATGTATGCATATATATGTATGTATGTATATACTAAACTTTCTCTTTTATATACATGTATATATACATATAAAAACATATGTATAAATACACATATATTTGTAGCCTACAAATGTGAAAAATATAGATATAGAGATAGACAGACAGGTAGATAGGTAGATAGAGGGTTAATATTATTTAATTTCCTATGGTGATCTTAATATATATATATATATATATATATATATATACACATATATGTATGTGTGTATATATTGTGTGTACGTGTGTGTCATTGCCATCTTTCTTTTATCTCTTTGCATATAGTCCTATTAGAAATATAGCTAGGTCAAGGGCACACATATTTTAATGACTTTTGGGTAATAATTCCAAATTGTTTTCCAACATGGCCAGGCCAATTTACAGCTTGACAAAGTGTACCTGTTTTTCTGCGACTCTTCCAACATTTGTTATTTTCTTTTTTTGTCTTTTTTGCCAATCAAATGGGTATAAGGTAGAACTTCAGAATTATTTTAAATTGTATTTCCCCAATTATTAATTATTTGAAGCATTTTTCATACTGTTTTTGATAATTTCTTCTCCTTTTGAAAATAGTTCAATGATATCCTATAACCATTTATGTATTGGGGAATGTAGCTTAGTCTTATAAATTTGAATCAGTTACTTGTATATCATAGATATGAGACCTCTATCACATAAACCTTTGAAAAAGTTTTTTTTTAGTTAAATGTTTCCCTCCTAATTTAACATGCATTAATTTTGTTTGTGCTAACACTTTTCATTGCATATAATGAAAATTATCCATATTATTTTCTATGATCCTCTTTATACCTTGTTTAATCAAACATTTTTCCTTTAAATAGTTGTAGAAGAAATCTCCTAACTTATCTCTCTAATTTGTTTAATGGCAATATCTTTACATTGAGGTCATATATACACATGAATCTTATTGTGGTACATGGTTTGAGATGTTCTAAATCTAAGTTCTGTCAACTGCTTTCCAGTTTCCCCAGCAGTTTTGTTAAATAATGCGTCTTTACCCAGTATACCCAGTTTTTCTGTACTACTACATTCATTTCCTTCTAGATCTTGTGTTCTTTATATATCCCACTGATCACATTTCCTATTTTTAATCAGTATCAAATAGTTTTTTTCTTTAGTCTTTTGTAGTATAGTTTGTTATAGTTTAAGATCTTGCAATACTACTCCTTCTTTTATCCAACTTCATTTTTCATTTTGGCCTTTGAGATTCTCTAACTTCTATTCCTCTAGATAAATTTTGCTATTATTGTGTTTAGTTTTATTTTTAAGCAATGCTTTGGCAATTTGTCATGGTATTGAATGATTCAGATACCATAATTACAAGTTGCAATCATGCTAATATTGTAAACCACACGCAATTAGTATCTTAAATTATTTAAGTATTAATTTCAGTGAAGTGTTTTCAATTGTATTCTTATACTTCCTAAAAATAATCAGAATCCCAAATATTTTATATACTCTCTAGGTGTTTTGAATGGAAGTTATCTATTTTTCCTGCTTCTTCTTGGAAACATTGAAAAACTTTTTTTTCATATTTTTAAAGAGAATTTATGTAAGATTGGAATTAATTCTTCTTTGAATGGTTGGCAGATTCCATTTGTAAATCTATCTGCCCTTGGTTTATTTTTTTTTCCTTTGAGACTTATTTATGATGTTTAAATTCTTTTTCTGGGAGTGGGTTATTTAAATTATCTATTTCTTGATTTATTTATCTGTGCATTTTATACTTTCTTTTAATGGAATAAAATTTATCAAAATGACATCATTTCCTTTATTGCCTCTTCATGTATGATGATTTTTTTTCTTAATTTTGATATCAGTTATTGGGTTTTTTATCTCTCATATATTTTATTAACTTTTCATTTAAAATGTATTTTATTGTTTAGTTCAATGTTTAGGGCATTTTGTTTAATTTTTCATCTGTTTTTTTCCTTGTTTTTACTTTTTGCCAACATTTTCCAATGTTTTCTTTTATTTCCAGGATATTTTTTATTCTGTTGGGGATTTCTAATTTGTTGTTCTTCTGTCTCTCACTCTTTTGATTACACGCTTGATTCACTGAATCCTTTTTTTCTTTTGTCAATGAAGAGACTTATCAGTATACATTTTGCCCCATGGACTACTTTGATTGTATCCCCAAATTATAGTATGTTTTCTAATTACTGCCATTTTCTTTGCTAAAATTATTTGTTGTTTCTATGATTTGTACTTTTACCTATAAAGTCATTAGGATAAAATTGTTTACACCCCATTTAAGTTTAAATTCTTTCTTCAAGTGGATTTCATTGAATGCGGTCAATAAAAGATCTATTTAATATTTCTGGGTTTTTATAGGTTTATTTATAAAGTTTTCATATCTTAACAAGTGGTTAATTCCTATAAAAGAATCTTGCATAAGTAGGTAGGATGTTTCATACAGGCGAGTAGTACAAATAAAGTGGATAGAAATCAGAATCCAGTAATATTTTGTTTACAAGAAACACACTTAAATGTTAAATATGATCTAGGACAAGGCAACAGTAAAAATAGAGCTAAAAGAGAGAAACAACAAAGCATACTATGCTGAAAATCACAATGGACAATTAAATAATATCATCAATTAAATAACATCATCTCTCTCTCTCTCTCTCTCTCTCTCTAACACACACACACACACACACACACACACATGAGGGTGTGTGTGTTTGTATTCTGTTCTGATTTAATAATTCCCAAAGATCTATCTTACCTAACTTTTCTAAAGTTTGTTGTTGGTAACATTTATTATTTGGGGTTATACAGATATATTATATGTGAGTTTATATGCATGTGTATATATACACATAGATACATACTGATAATCATTTAAGATCAATTGATCCCCAATAAGGGCCAAAACCCTGAATTAATCTTTTCTCTCTGAGTGAACTAAAAATATCCCTTCCTATGTCAGCAACTACAGGACCAGATGGAACTGACCAGCATTCTTCCTGTTTGTGATCATTAAGGACAGGATACCTGGGACCAGACACTCTCTTGAATAGTGGGACTTTTGCTATCTTTGTATCCTATGGACATATGTTATGTAGAGGAAATACAGATATCCTGGATCTATAATTTTGATTAATACTTTGAAGTTCTTCTATTGTATTTACAATCTATGCAATTAAGAAACTTCCTTTTTTGTGCTGTATATTAAGAAACATATGAAGACTATACCTTTTATTTTGTAACACAGACATCCTGAGTGAGGGTTTAAATGTCCTCCAGAAATTGCTTGAGTCAATCAGAGTTAAAGCTCTGATTCCATGTACATGTGCCGCTAACTTAAGGGAATAAGGAATAAATCATTATGAACTTACATATGACCTAGCTTGTTGTCTCTTTAACCAACTTTCAGGTCAACAATACATACATACATATATATATACATATATAATGAGAGAGAGAGAGAGAGAGAGAGAGAGAGAGAGAGTGTGTGTGTGTGTGTGAGAGCCCACTATGCTCCTGGGAGCAAAGCTGCTTCTTGCTACTAAATTTGCTCCTTTATATGCATGCATATACACACATATAAAAATATATGTGTATAAACACATATTTGTATGTCTATAAGTGTGTGTGTGTGTGTGTGTGTGTGTGTGTGTGTGTGTGTGGAGAGAGGAAGGAGGGGGGAGAGAGACAGAAAGAGAGGGGGAGAGAGAGAGGGGAGGGGAGAGAAAGGGGGAAGAGAAATAGAGAGAGGGAGGGAGGGAAGGAGAGAGAGAGAGAGAGGGAGAGAGAGAGTTGATACTATTTAATTACCTATGGTGATTTTAAGCATAATATACTTTATTGTTTCTCTCTTTTAACTCTATTCTTACTGTTGCCTTGTCTTAGATCATGTTTGCTATCCCTGCTTTTTTAATTCACCCAATACATAATGAAGTCTTCTCCAGCATACTTACGTTAACTCTATGTAAACATTTAAGTGTGTTTCTTGTGAATAACATATTGCTGGATTCTGATTTCTAATCCACTTTTTTTGTCCTCTTCTGTTTTATGCATGAGTTTTCCATTCACGTTCATGGTTACAACTGTTAATTATGTATTGCCCTTCATCATATCCTCTTCCACTTTCTTCTCCTCTCTTTGCCCCTCCCTGTAAAATAAAAGGGAGTGAAAATGATCAGCACTACCAATCTGTAATTGAAGCCATTTCTTTTCAACTTCACTTCTACTCTACTCTTCCCCTGAACTAGATCCTGATTACTGGTCCTTACACTTGCTTTTCTTTTAATATATTCCCTTTACATCCTATCATGTGGTCTGTTTATTTTGCTTCCAATTATTCCTTCTTAAAGCTATGTTTCACTTAAGTCACAAACCCCTTTTCCCGTGAATTCCTATTTCAATATTTTTTTAAATTTTTATTAAAGCATATTCTTCTAATCAATGAAAATCTCTACCTTCTCTTCTTTCCACTTTCCTCCACATCCACTGTGAAAGAAAAACAAAACCTCTGTTACAAACATGTATAGCCTAGCACAGCAAATTCATGTATTGGTCATATCTAAATTATAGATAAGATAGATAGATAGATAGATAGATACATACATACATACATACATATATGAATACATACATACATACATACATACATACATACATACATACATATGCTAGTGAATCCTGAATCCTGAGACCATCACTTCTGTATCAAGAGAGTAACATTGTTCATCAAGAGTCCTCTGAAATAGTGGTCTGTCATTGTATTCATTAGAATTAACATAACGACCTCAATCAATTTTCCAGGTTACTTGTTTTTACTATGAGATACTTTATATTTTCTTCTATTTTTTCAGTGTTTAGACTTTGGTTTAATATTTCTTCTTGTCTCAGGGAGGCATTATCCTCTCTTTGATGAATTCTAATATTCAGGGGCTTTGTATCATGAATAAGGTGTTGTACCTCTTATGCTATGCTGCTAATTCCCTTTCCAACATTTTCTTCCACAGTTCTAAATTATTTTCTACTTTTCTCTATTTTTATTTCACTTATAAAAATATTTTAATGCTAAAAAATAACAACTTGCTTCATCTCTTCCTGTGATTCTAGTTGAACTTGTGCCCAAGCTGTGTTCTTTTTTTTGAGGCTTTGCTTGTAGATGTTTTGGAGTCATTCTCTTCTGATTTTGTGTTTTTAGCATCTTTTTTTCACCACAGTAACTTCTTTATGGTGGAATTTGTTCTCATTTGATTTTTTTTCAACCTACTTCCTGAATGCAGACTTTATGCTAGGGGCAGGTTCTGTGTACTTATAGAGGGAATATCTGATTTGAGTTTGTGTCCTGCTGCTGCTTTCTTCATGGTATTATGTTGTGTTCTTCCAGGATCTCAGGGATAGCTTAGGCTGAGGACCTGCAATCTTCCAGTATTCCCAAATTAGTCTGCTCCAGGACAAAGAAATACTACTGCTCTCCCTAGTTTAAACTATGACCTGGATTGGGTCAGAAAAAAATATCTGTGGGTTTTCCCTGGTTGGAATTCTAAGATATTGTTGCTGCACTCAGTCTCTATCAACCTGCTTGAAAGCTTGATTGCTTCAGAATAACAGAACTGCTAAGTCCTATTTGTTCTGGGATTCTTGACCTAGTTATTTTTCTATTGGCTTCAGATGGCTGAATACTGGAACTAAAACTTCATTGTGATCCTGGGGTCAATGACACAAAGCTGCTTCTTGCTACTGAACTTGTTCCTTTATCAGTACAAAATATACATCCTGTAACCTTGCAACACCACTCCCAGCATGAGTCCCTCCCTCAGTCTACCCTGACGCTTTGACCTTGAATTATGTAGTGAGTAACAGAGTTGTCAGTTGGTACTTAAGCCTATAATCTGCACAAAGTTAGGCACTTCTGATGGATCTGGGATCTTTTCTTATGCTATTGCACAGTTGTTCCCTATGTTTGAATACTCTGCATGATATGCTCCTGGCTAGACCCCATCCACAATGTCTGCATGCCTCTCTATCTCCCTTTGTTGTCTCCCAAGGCTGGAAAATTGACACACTATTTTGTTCTTGGATTTCTCAATCAGTATTTGGACTGATATATTTCCTAGATATGTGTTGAAGAGTAGTAGGGCAGAGCTCAACTGTACTTTTTCCTGATACTCTGCCATCTTGAATCCATAGCCCTGGTTTAATGTTTTTCTGTACCAAACTCTCTATATATACATGTGTATATTTTACATTTTTTTGTCCAGATCAGATGAGAGTGCCCACTGCACCAACCTCTTCTCCCATGTTATATGTCTTTTTCTTGTGTATTTTAATTAGGAGATATAATAATGTGAATTATTATTATTAATTAATTAACCTTGTATTCCTCATTTTCTCCTACTATATTCCTTTATCCTTCCCAAAAAAATGACCATCAGATCCTTTCTTTCACTTAATTCTTCCTGGGACCCTTGAAGACATGGAGATTTTGATAGAACAGTTATCTTTTCCTTTTATAATAGAACGTAAATACTTTATCATCATTTATTCCCTTCTATTCATTTAAATATATTTAATTTTCTAGGATTCTCTAGATCCTCGTGTTTCAGATTGCAAGTTTCTATTAGTTCTTCCTTTTTCCTCAGAAATGATTGAAAGTTTTCTATTCCATTAAAGGTCCATTATAGCCCCAGGAGGATTATTTGCCTTTTAGTACACTCAGCTATAAGATTCGATCTCCTTTATAGTTGTTAACTCCGAGTCTGCTGTCCACCTTTCTATTATAGTCCCTTAGTATTTGAGTTCCTCCTTTCTGACTGCCTTCTGGTCAATCTTCCTGCCACAAATCTCCCTCTCTTCCAGTCTATCCACTCAGCTGCCAAAATTATCTTCCTAAAACACAGAACTGACTATATCATCCCTCCTACTCAATAAACTCCAGTGACCCCCTGTCACCTTCTAGATCAAATATAAAGTCCTAAACCCTTCATAACTCACTCCCTGCACATTTTCAGTCTTCTTGCATCTTACACAACTTTATCTATGTACTATCCAATCCAGTAACGCTGCCCTCCTCTTATTGTTTCTTGAACAAAAACATTCTAACTCTCATTTTCATTGATTGTCTTCCCTCATTGACTATTCTCTGCCTCCTGCCTATTCTGGTTCCCTTTAAGTCCAGTTAAAATCCCAACTTCTAAAGGAAGCCCTTCACCATCTGCCTTAACTTATTTACAATTTATCTTATACATAGCTTTATTATACAAAATCATCTGCATGTTTTCTCCCCCATTAGATAATGAGCTCTTTGAGAATTATATCTGTCTTTCATCTATTTTTTTTGCTTCCCAAGCATTTAGCACACTGCCTATATTAGTATTTAATAGGTAAATACTAGGTACTTAATAAATATTTGTTGCTTGATCAGCCTGAAAGCTACAGATTTTGTCTATGACATTCCTGGGAATTTGCATTTGTGGGTGTGTTTAAGGAGATAACTCACAAATTCTTTCTATTTCTATTGTTCTCTGGTTCTTGTAAATCTGAGTAGTTATTTATAATTTCTTGAAATATGATGCTTGGGTCTTTTTTAGGAAAGTGTTTTTATTCCTAAGTTTAATGTTCCCTACTTGAACAATTTTCCAGGTTAGCTGTTGGGGGTTTTTTTTATAATAGATGCCTTATGTTTTCTTATATTTATTTTTTAATCTTTTGATGGATTTGATTAATATTTTTATTGTCCCATGGAGTCATTGAATTGTTTGTTGTGTTCTAATTTTCAGTGAGCCTGTTTCTTGGGTGAGATATCGATTTAGGTATATTTATCTTCTAAGCGAGATTTAGCCTCTTTTCTCCTTGTATTTTTCTCTCTCTCAAGAACTCTTATTTTATTTTCATTAGTTGCTTTTTTCCTTCAGGTACATCTTATGGTCAAGCCATTTTCTCCTAAAGCTCTGCCTAAACTTAGGGAATTACCATCTTCTCTGAGTTTGTGGCCATGTATGGACTTATATTTCTTCATAATACTTTCTTCTCTTTGCTTATATGTCCAACTTCAGTTCCTGATTTGGAATTTTGTACCCAGGACCCCACCATTCTCCTTCTTGTATTCTTGGATGAGGTTGTCATGTCTTTTTAGGTCTCATTCTCATTTTTGCTTGGCTCTTGCTGCTGACCTGATTTGTCTCTATTTGGAGTTCTGGTAGCCTTCCAGATCAGTGGTTGGATTTCCCACATGAAAGTGCTTGTAGGGCCTTCAATACCCCTTGGGATATACCTGGAAGGATTTTGCTTGGTCCTTTTGTTCCCTATTCTTGACCTCTCTGGTCAAGGAGACAATGCAAGGTTCTTTCCTCTTAGGACCACCAAAGTCAGGGCATTTCTGAAAGTCTGTTCACTTCAACTCATTCTGGCTTTCATAACAGGACTCTTTTTCCAGTGCTCCAATTTCTGGCTATCTTTTTGTGCAGACCTAAACTGCATAAACAAGCTGATGTTTCGCTTTGGATTTTTTGTGGACATTTTTTTGTCATTTTGGCACCCTCCTTCAATTATTGCTGAAGTGTACGTGGAAGACCTAAACTCCTTTATGACTCTTCATCTCACCATTGTAATTATAAGAATCTCACAGACTCTTTGGAGACACCCTTAAAGTAATTTGGTTATATTTACAAAAATAGTAGACATTTCTGGCCAGATGAAATTCTCTTTTACCAAATTACTGCATATTTAAAGAAAAAGAAAACTGTATGCTGTAAGACTTTAAGTATAGATTCTGCATATATATATTTGTCAGAGAAGAATTTTGCATTCAAATGATCCTTAACCCTACTTTATTTTATACTAGATAATGTGTGATCCCTGGATCTAAGACATGAATTGACTTCAATAGAACTTATCTTTCTTTTTTCATTTCTTAGTGTCATAATGATACTTGATAATTTAGTCTTTCATAACGATTCCTAAGAACTTAGCCTTGACACTCCATTTTCAAACAGGTAGCCCCTTCTATTCCATCTGCTCAAACGTCATGGGTTTTCTGCATGCTTACTAACCAAATCAATATCCTACTCATTAAGATTCTGTGATCAAAGCCCAAAGTTTTCCTGATGCTTTCTTTTATCTGTAAACAGACTCCATTCATCTCCCTCCTCTAATTGC